ACGATTTCTGTTCACCTATCCGTAATACCCGACTTCTCAACTACGATATTGGACTTTTATATTCAACGAGGTTGTTCAACTATAAATTAGAAATTCCAGCATATGGATATACGCCTGGAGGTGAATGTTCCCTGTTTTATAGAATTGAAATGAGAAAATACACCGATTGTGAAATTCATTGCCAAAGCGGTTCCGTTTGTAGAATATCCGCCTGTGAAGGAGACAGTCACTTAAAAGATTGCCAAGAAGAAGTGGCGTACAGCCTAGAACACTTCGGTTTATCCTTCGTTGTGGAAGCACAAGATAGTGACTTTCGCAATATGAAACCAGGAAATCCTGTCTTTTGTCACAATGACCCTAGAAAACCATACATTTGTGGCATTTTAAGTGAAACAAGGTATTTAAGCTGGACGCGGTTTTTACCGGAAGACGATTTTTTAAAGAATTTACAGGAAGACAAATCCATACACGGGCATCTACCTTCAGTAATACTCATCACTCTTCTCATAAGTTATTTGATTTTGACGTAGCACAAAAAATATATAAAATAGGTTATTATAACATTGATTTTATAAATATAAAATACAAATCATTTATGTATTCCAAGTTAAATAATTATAATTCAGGCATTCACGCACAAGTTCCATAATGCTTCTCGTTTAAATTTTTCTATTATACAAGAAAATTTCAGACCAATCCTTGTAGTTATAATAAATATTTATTATTTATTTTCCTACTTTTTAAATTTAAGGAAAGAATTGACAATATTTTAAAACATTTTTAATGTGTAGCTTCAATCCTTAGTAATTTTTATTTATTTAAACATTTTTTAATAAAAAAACGTAAAATACATCATGTGATGAAAGAAGAAACGATTTATTTCGTTTTATTATATACTCAATCAATGGACTATATTAGCAAATCTTTCGCATCCCATTGCAGACAACAATAGGGACAAATTGCCTAGGAAGTATCACAACAGAAGGACTAGTTTTATCATCATGGAAGCGTAAAATTCAAGAGACTCAGCATGAAGGAACGTCCATTTTTATGTGTATGGTCTGGTTTTGAGCAAAACACAGTGCTTCAAAGTCACGGACGATTAGAAATTTATAAATCGCCTGTCTAATATAAATTATTTTCATATTGACTCGATTTTGTCAAAATTATGTACACCCAAGCCGGTGAGGGATAGTTTTCCCCAAAAGAGAAAAACAATCAGAAATTCCCTGAGGTCACAGAAGGCCTGAAGAAGCGGAAAAATCCTTGTAGAGTTGATATTGTTCAAGAATCCCCCTTAGAAACTTGATCAAGGGGTAACTTAATAGTAACTTCGCCCAGGGACTTCGTTTACATAAGTCCCTAAAATTAGGCAAACCCGCCGTACCTAGTGTATTGCAGCTTTCGAAATAAAGTAGTCCAGCAGATTGGAATGACGGAAGAAGTTTCAAATATGACGGAAGAAATTTGGTCCTGATTTGTGAAAAATTGATAGGAAAGGAAATTATAAAACCCCCTCCTATTCAAGAGAGCTGTCTGTTGGTATTTTAAGACAATTTTTTCTTGATTTTAATCTGCAACAATCACAGTGAATTTTTTGTCACTGTGTTAGCACGTGTGTCTGTTGTGACTAGTACCACGCACTGGAGGCAGTGTTATATAATTTGAGTGCCACTCATTATTTTTAATAAATTATTGTATATTTTCTGTGTGAATGTGCAAGTCTAAGCCACTTGTAAACGCATGCAACCACGCCAATTTTCATTACGAGACAGAAAAGGAAAATGAAACAGAATAATTAAATATCAGAAAAAAGGGGAAAATGTTAATAAAACAATAATTATTTAAAAATCGTGAGTGGTCTGGTTTGATGTAGGTTAGAAAAACATTTTCTTTATCGTGCCGTTTCGATCTTTATTGATATCAGCTTGGGACTTATAAACATTGCTTAAATGATACAAATACATAGGAGTATGAATTGATAAAATGGTGTACACATTATAGAAAGTTTAAGTTTAATCAAAATATTTTTATTCATTCAAAGTCTGTTTACTGTATAGTCGTGTCAATTTAATGTTTTTGGTTCTTAGATATTTTGTATCTTTTAAAATCAAATATTGAACTGATGGCGGATATCAATTAGCATTATGGAACTTGTTGATTCTTAATTTGTGCACAATTTTTCTAACTCAATTCACTCCTGTTTGTTCAATTGACAAGAATATTATATAATACAATGCATTTTTCCATATGATGTACTAAATGAAGTATGGAATTTTTTAGTTAAAACGCCAAAGTTCAATTTGAAGTACCAACAGGCCAAAGTCGCTAACTCGCAACCAAGGCTTCAATTTGGATAAATCGAAAAAAAAGATACTTTTCAAATGTTTTTTTAGACGTTTGATATTTCCTTAGTTTTATAAAGTTTTTGTGGATATTTTGACCAAATTTTAAGAAGATTGATACAAGAAATCAATTTGAAGTAGCAACAGGCCAAAGTCGCTAACTCGCAACTCTCGACTCAACCGAGGCTTCAATTTGGAAGCCAAAGAAGGAAAAACTTTTGACTTTTAGACGGCTGGACAAAGACTTTCTCAGTGTGGATAGTCGGCGAACTGGACGAGACATGAATGGGATTTGTAATGTATTCGTAGTAGTAATTGTGCGTAGATTGTAAAATGCCCTTCCTGAGCAACCCAAGTGCCAGATTAGATAGAAAGACCGAACCTCTTTCTTCTCAGGGAAGGATGAGATAATGCAAACATAACAATTTTTTAATAAATAGGGAAATTTCTAATTTTTTGGTTTGGTAGACGGGAGAATGATTAAAAGGCATGTTGGACCAAGGGCTCGTATTGCTACAAAAGTGAATTGATTACTTTTTTAATACGATATGGGATGTTTGCAACTCAAGTCAAATAATGTTGAACCTATAAATGTAAATCCATAATAAATATTGATTCAAATAAGTCCCAATTTCTGGGATGTATTTAACCAGACGTTAATAAAATGTTTAAAATAAATATATGTGAATACAATTTATTAAGAAAAGTTCCGGTCCGTGGTAACAAAGCGGGTAATTCATGCGTATGACTTATTTTTCTTCTTTCGGCATATAATTTTTGTTTTATGTTGTAGAATCATCATACTCGATAATATAATTTCCTCTGAATTTCACATCGACTGGCAATACAGTGATATTCTACAATGCTCTGGAACTTACCTTGAAAAAGAATTCAATGGGAGAGTCCTCCAGAATATAATCAAGCTCAACATTACTAACTTGAGACCACTGATCTTAGATTGCGATATTATTAAATTGCTTGACCGCCTTGGTACTTGGATCTATAATTTTTTCAAAACTCACAACACAAAAAAGTGAACGTTCCTTCATCTTACAGTTTCTTGAATTTTCCAAGACACGTACGTGAGGGTAAAACTGTTAGTTCTGTAATGAATCCTCCTGAGCAGTTTTTTCCGTCAGAACTTTTTAAAACAATATATTTGTAAATTTGCCTTGGGTTTCCTGTAGTTCAACTATGTTAAGAACGTTTTTTCATAAGACAATGTATGTCATTTGACCAATCATTGTTGTTTGTTAGATTAATGGTGTAGGGATTGAAAGGAATATCATTGTACAGGAAGCACAGTTACAGAATGAATTTGCCTTCAGTTGTCGAACCAAGATAATCAGCATTGGAATAAAATACTTCATCTTCTGCAAAAATATGATTTGAGACCAGTAATCATGCACTGCGATAGGTTTATAATTGCTTGACCTCGTTAGCATTTGGATCTGAAATTTGTTCAAAACGTACGGAATGAACATAAAAAGTGAACGTTCCTTCATCTTATAGTTTCTTGAATTTTCCAAGTCACGTATGATATTCCTAAGGTGTGCAGTCTACATTAAACTTTGGTCAAGAACCTCTAGGTGTGTAACTTATTTCGAATGTTTTATTTATTTGTTTCACAGGGTAACAGTTGTATGATTGAACTTCTTTCTCTTGGTGAATAGAACAATGCCTTTATGAGGGTGTCAACTTCCATATGGTTTCCTCAAAAACTCTTCAAACTAAAAAAAACTTGCACACACTAAAAAACACTAGTAAAAACATTGCCAATTTAACTTTTTTAAAGATAAAAATGATTTTTTTTAATCTTTTCAATGAAGTTTGTCACGATCTTTGCGAGGATCCTTTCCACTTCGAGCAAATATGAACAAATATTAGTGCCACTACTCAAACAATTTAATTAAAAAAAGAAAAATCGGGATCTGACCCAAATAAATTAAAACAGTAACCTTTTAAAATAACTATATTACAATTTAAAAAAATAATAGAAATGATCACTGACATATGTATCTAATTGCCAATGACAATTTAAAAAAATGTATGTCTTTGACCACGTTGAGATAAAAGTCCTTCCGGGTCTCAACCAGCTCTGCTCGAAACTTGCGGATGGGGGATTAGCTTATCCTAACCCAAAGGATTTGTTATTAAAAAAATATTGTTATAAGTTCAACCCAATATACTGCTGGTATCGGGTTTAGTAGGGTGAAGGCTGCTTCGATATTCCGAAACGTAATTCGTTTGACCAATTGTTCTAAAGAAATGTAGCTGTCTGAGGGTTTCGAAGTAGAAGATGGAAGGATAACGAGGTGGATCAACAATCATTGTTGTTTGTTAGATTAATGGTATAGGGATTGAAAAGAACAAGCAGTAACGGACCAATATCCTTGGCTTTGTACAAAGGATAGTGAGAGGATCCATAAAACAAAGTACCTGTCGACCAAGTAGAACTTTAAAGCGAGGAACGTAGGTGTGAAATAGTGGAATTTTGTACGTACACGGTAGGTCGCTTCCTCCCCTGAGTGTCCAGAGCATTCTCCATGCCAGATTAGATCGAAATAATGTTAACTTTTAAATTTTCGTCAATCTAATTCCTCAGTTCTGTGATATATATTAAAATTTACCAATCAAATATATAAAATAAACAAGTAAATGTGAACAGCGTTTATTATGAAAATTTATTGCCCCACTGTAATCAGGCTGGTAATCCACCGCAGTCTTGAGTTCTTAGTCTTTCTTTGGTTTTTCTCATAATTCTGTTTATGTTGTAGAAAATCGTGTAATTTCCTTCTGTGAATTTTCCTTCAGGTGTCGAAACAAGATAATCAGCATTAGAATAAAATACTTTATCTTCTGCAAACATATGGAACTACCTTGAAACAGAATTCAACGGGAGACTCGTCCAGTATATAATGAAGCTCAATATTATAAATTTTGAGACCAGTAATCGTACACTGCGATAGGTTTACAATTGCTTGACCTTTTTAGCATTTGGATCTGTAATTTGTTCAAAACTTACGGCACAAACACAAAAAGTGAACGTTCCTTCATCTTATAGTTTCTTGAATTTTCCAAGACACGTACGTGAGGGTAAAACTGTTAGTTCTGTAATGATTCCTCCTGAGCAGTTTTTCCCGTCAGAACTTTTTGTAAACATTTGCAATGGGTTTCCTGTAATTCAACTATGTTAAGAACGGTTTTCATAAGACAATGTATGTCATTTGACCCCTTTCAGGACCAGCAGGTGGAATAAAACAAAAGAAAATTGCAGCATGTGTTTCATAGGGATTTATTAATAAAAAGAAGTAATTTCCTTGTAAAACAAATCATATGTTAATGTGATTTACACAATTTAGTGTAGTTTTAACAGTGAAGACAAATGAAGAAGAAAGGGCGAACTATGTTGACGATGATCATTTTAACACAGCAATCAACACTGGCTGCTCCACCATACATAAACGTAAGAAATGTTGATCTTTTATTGCCTGTTTGATCTATATCAAAATTTAATAGAATAAAAGATAAATTTGTGCAATTCAACAGTGTTCATTTGAAGAGTGTAGTTGCGGTATGTGATCGTCATAAGTCAACAACATGTCTGGCTGAATGGGAACTTCCAACTGTAAATTAACCAAAACCGTACGGCGCAAACATAAAAAAAAGAGCTTTCCTTCCAACTTCAAGTTTCTTGAATTTTCCAAGACACGTACATGAGGGTAAAACTGCTCGTTCTGTTATGATTCCTCCTGAGCAATTTTTTCCTTCTCCCGTTTACAATGGTATTGAAGAAGCGTCTGCTAACGTTGCCGTAAATTTATTGAACAGAGACCCAATTACAAAATAAAACATTATTGCCATAAATTGTTTTCATTTTTATCGCATGTTTTTTTTATATTTTATTTATTGCTATAGGTATAAAATATACGTTGCGAAAATGGTATAGCTATATAGAAATCTGTCAGATCAGGTACTACCGTTTTAAAAGGCCTGGACGATCGTAAGGATAAGGAGTCGAGGAACGAGTATGAAGGGATAGTTTAGAGTGTAAATTGAAATAAAACATTCCCATAAATGGTTTTAAGGTTTTAAGTTTAGAGTGAGTATTGAGAAAGCGTGCTCGGATAGGATTTTTCAGGAAACGGATTGTATATCTTTATGAAAAGGTTGATTGGTAACATGGATTGGAGTATTCAAGGTACGGCGGTGAACTTTTGATTGAAAAGATTGAATTCGTTGGATGACGGATAATTTGGCCGAGCTCGGCTCCGAAAGACCAAATAGGTGTGATGAATGTTTTGTAAATGATTAGTTTGTTATGCATGCTTAGTGTTGATTTTGGTCCCAGTAGGTATTTGGGTTGTTCTTATCGTTTGTAAAGTTCTTGTCGTTTAAATCTTGTATGTACGTAAGTCGTTCTAAGCTATCTAAGTAAAGCCCAAAGTAGCGGACTTGGTTTGATGATGGTATTATCTCGTTGTTAATGTTCACTGGTGGGCAGGTTTGACATTTGAGCGTAAAGTAACTTGTTTTCAATTTGGTTCGTTCACCTTGATTTTCCACCGAGCGCAATATTTGGTAATGAGGTTCAGATGTTGGTGGATTGCTTCTGTGGCAAGGGTAGGATGAGAGTGTGTTAAGATTGCGGAGTGGTACGCGAAGGTTGTGTTATACTCATACTTCCTTGTGAATAGCCCGATTCGATTGCCATGACTCACTTTAAACCACCGATCATGAGGAAGGACTTCTGGACAAGACGATAGTATGAGGGAGGATACGTTTTAACTGGAGGCTGGAGTGCCCCCCTCGGTCAAATGCTTCCGTAACGTCGAGAAATACGGCTGGACAGTATTGTTTGTTTTCTAGTGACGAGGATATCGTGTCGACTACTCTGAATCACTGTTGATCAGAGGAATTCTAAGTCTGGAAAAATCTAGACGATAATTCGGAACGAGATTCGGATAAATAGTATAAATTGGGGGTACGCCAGATGATTGGACAAACGTCTTTTTGCTGCTGATTAGTAAGCAGACGTTAGAAGAAGACATAACGAATTTAGAAAGTTATGTACATATATATCTATAAGTCTGGCAGATTAAATATATATAAAATTATTTTTTGTTATTTATTTATACAACAATGATGTTTTTATACAATTGTATAACAGTTCTTATGCATTTCAAAAAATTTAGTACTGTACGATTTTTTAAATTATTGTTTTATAATTTCATGAGCAGAAAGCCAAGTGCTTAACAAAATAAATATGAGGCGAATCTAATTATATAAAATTAATTTTATCAATTATTTTTTAAAAAAGAATACCTAAAATATCTAGTTGCGATAGCGTAATGATATTTTACTAACGTTCCATTCTGCATTAAATAACATATGTTATATATATATATCCATATTGTTAATTAAGCACACATCAAGACTGAAAGAGTTATTTATAAAAATGTGTCATTTAATAGTTTCCATTTGTTGCAAACCGTTGCCACTGTAGACGTGTGTCATTACAAGAAAGCTGTCGCCTTTATTCACAATTCTGCCTTGAAAAAAAATTGTTCAGGAGTAGTTGTATCAGAAAGAGCAGTTTTAACCACTTGTAATTGCCTCGGAAATTTCAAGACAGTGTGCGAAGGAAAAACATTTCAACAACTTGTGTTCACGCCTTCCAGCGAAAGATCATTGAAAACAACTCTCCCGTTCCAGGAACAGAAGTATCGTGTTATTTCAAGCAGGATCCACGATTACTGTTCACCAATAGATAATACTAAAATTTACATTTACGACCTTGGTATTGTAACTTGCGAGAATTTGCTTGAAGGTTCTGTGACAGTTCCAACCGACATACCTGCCGCTGGCGGAAATCTTGTTTGTGTTTTAATGAAGAATGATTTTTCTCTAAAACGGACTGAATGTGTTTACCGCTGCACATCATTATGTCCTTATATGTACTGCATGAAAGAAAAAGATGTCGAGTTGTGCGCCGACAACGTCAAGGAAAGCGTACCGAACTTTGGATTATCCTTCTTGCCTGAAATAATTGTTATAAAAGATATAAAATTTGAAGGTTTTCCTCTATTTTGTTATTATTATCCTTCCGAACTCTACGCTTGTGGGCTCGTTAGTGAATTAGTCCATCATAGTTGGACGCGTATCAAACCGGATAACAAGTTTTATGCAATGTTTGAAACAGGCAAGTCCAACAATGAACCTTTCCCTTCCTCCTTGATAGTCGTCACTCTTCTATTCAGTCATTTTCTTTTTTATGCCCGTTAAAATGTTATAATTCAATGTTCGAACATCAATAAACCATATGTTTTATATAAAAACGTTAGAAAATCTTGCATAATATGGTATCCCATGGTGGAAATTGACGAACTAAATTGAAATAAAACATTATTTCCATAAATTGTTTTAATTTTTCATCACATGGTATTTGTTAAGTTTGTTACATGAAACATGTCTTATACGATACACTGACAATTGCAGCTGGCCACGCAAAACATTGAAAAAGCTTACAACTATTTCTATCGTGTATGTGTCTCTCCTAAAAACGAATTCTGTTTTAAAATGGATTTCATTTAGTCTATATCTCTTTGGTTTTTCTTTTTAAGGGCTGGATATCACCAACGATAATCGTCCTTCTCACATGTTTCTGTGGTTGTATGTATGGAAGTGTGGATGTGTGTTATAATTTCTTATGAAAATCCTTCAGTGGAATCTAAATGGCTATAACACACAACGCAACGAACTCCAATATTTAATTGGGCAGTTTAGGACCGAAATTATCAGTTTACAAGAAACTCATTTAAAGCCAAATGAAACACTGTCACTTCGAAATTTTTCCATTATCCGTAAAGACTACAGTGATGGTCAAATTGCATGTGGAGGAGTCTGTTTAATGAGAAGTGATGATATTCCACACAAAACTATCCCCATAATATCTAACCTACAAGTTATAGCAGCTAGAATCTTGAAACCACCTCACTTGACAGTATGCTCAATCTATCTACCCCCAGGGAGAGAGGTATCTGCCATAGACCTCAAAGAAGTAATCGACCAATTGCCCAATCCTGTGTTGTTAATGGGCGATTTCAATGCCGTTAGCCCCCTCTGGGGAGGACAACGTGTGAATAGAAGAGGAAAAGAAATTGAAAAATTTCTTGAAGAATGCAATGTTAATATTGTCAATAATGTGGCCATGCCTACACACTTTTGGGCAAGGACCGGCAGCGTTTCTAATATAGATCTAAGTATTTGTAGCCCAAATATACAACACCTTTTAGAATGGAGTACTTTACCTGACACACATGGCAGTGATCACTTCCCTATTGTAATTGGAGTTACTTCTTGCCCTACAACAGCTGAACGACCTCCCTCTTGGCAGATATCAAAAGCTGACTGGGACAGTTTTAAACAAAATGTATCGCTGGATGATCTAAACCTAGATGAAGACAATATCGATATTCTGTTGGAAAACATGAACAACAAAATTCTTGAGGGAGCCCAGCTCTCAATCCCCCGAACTAAACCCACAGCGCGTCTCCATCAAGTACCGTGGTGGACCACTGCTTGTAAAAATGCGATCCGAGAAAGAAAAAAATCCTTACAAAAATTCCTTCGTTGCCCTTCATCAGAAAACTTAAATGCCTATGTATCTGCAAGGAAAAACGCCAGATACATTGTCAAGCAAAGCAAAAAAGACTCCTGGCTTAATTTCTTAAAAAAGACAAACTCGAACACACCCACCAAGACTTACTGGGAAACAGTAAGAAGAATAATTGGACACGGGTACTCTCCTCCAGTTAAATGTCTAGAAACTAGCAGCAACCAACACATAACTGCACCGATAGACCTTGCAGACACCCTGGGACAACACTATTACAAAGTCACGGCTTCCAGTAACTACTCTAGTAGCTTTTTAGCAATCAAAGCCCAACGAGAATCGGTCCCTATTCTAGTGAAATATGATAACAATAACCCACTAAACTTGCCATTTTCTGAATCTGAATTCATACTTGCACTGGACTCTCGCAGAGATTCCACACCAGGACCAGACAATATATTCATCAGCATGTATAAAAACCTAAAATCCAATGACAAAACGATTGTACTAAAAATACTAAACAAAATCTTCACCAAAGGTATTTTTCCCAACATCTGGACCAGAGCCATAGCCATTCCTATTCTTAAAAACGGTAAACCCCCACACAAAATAAGTAGTTACAGACTGATTTCTCTAACCTGCTCGCTGTGTAAACTCATGGAAAAAATAATCTCCAACCGACTCCTCTGGCACCTAGAGTTCAACAATCTCCTCCCTCCAGAACAGAGTGGGTTTAGAAAGGGTAGAGGTACACGAGATAACCTGGTTCTACTAGAAACAGCCATCGGTAAAGCATTCAAAAATAAAGAAAAGCTACTTGCAGTCTTCTTAGACATTGAAAATGCTTTTGATAAAATCTGGAGAAGACTAATTCTTGACTCATTAAAAAAATTCGGAATTGATGGCCACATACTCAAATTCCTCATCAACTTTTTGGAACACAGAAACTTCCAAGTAAGATGTGGCAATACACTGTCAATGCCATTCACACAAGAGAATGGGGTCCCTCAGGGTTGCGTGCTTAGCGCAACTCTGTTCTGTATAGGACTCAATGAGGTCTTGAAACAGATTGACTGGCCAGTACAGGCTGTGTTATATGCAGATGATTTAGCAGTTTTTTGTACTGGAAAACATCTAGTGAGTCTTCAAGAAACACTACAAGACTCACTACATAAAATTGGTAACTGGCTTAACCTGAATGGCTTCAAGGTGTCCCCGGATAAAACAGTGGCTGTCCTTTTTGCTAAAAGAAAGCCTACGG